AAATGAGGCTTCACAGGCAAGCAAAGCGCCTTCATCAAGTGATGAGCAAGCAAGCGCCTTCAACAAGTGAGGCATCACAGGCAGGCCAAGCGCCTTCAACAAGTGAGGCCTCACAGGCAACCCAAATGCCTTCAACCAGTGAGGCTTCAGCAGCTGGCAGTCAAAACTAACTTTGCTTAATGAACTGTACAGTAATTTTAAGTGTTAATTTTAGTGTTGTGTTAGTATAGGTTACGTAAATTGTTAAGAATTCTTAACTTCAAAATGTGTGGCATCAATCAAGAAGACGAACACCAACAAGGTAAGTTGAGGTTTCTAGTTGAATATTTAACAATTATATGTGGCAAGGCAATTCAAATTATGTTGTTTGTAGTATAAAAATAGTACCCCCAGCTGGATGTGATAATCCGGCTGGGGGTCCTTCCCATACAGTCCAGAAGGTCGAGTGGAGACAGTATGTGTTCTTGTTGCAAGGTTTCAATGGCAGTTCTGGAATCTGTACATATGATAACATATTGTCGGTGTTCAGCAAGAGCATGAATGAAATGGTCACTTTTGGACTTGTAGGTGAAAAAGTACCATTATTCGAGAAATGTGATAATCCGGCTGGGGGTCCTTCCCATACAGTCCGGAAGGTCGAGTGGAGACAGTATGTGTTCTTGTTGCAAGGTTTCAATGGCAGTTCTGGAATCTGTACATATGATAACATATTGTCGGTGTTCAGCAAGAGCATGTTCCAAAGCCTTATAAATGGCTAGCATCTCAGCATGCATGCAGTAGTCCTTTTTACCCTTATTTCAATCGACGTTAGCTTGGTTTCTAGTCTTAGGTTCAGTATTTTAGTCCATCTGGGAGCTCCTGTTATGACTCGCATTGCATCGTTTTGAATAACCTCAACGTTTGCCCACTAACCAGGAGAAAGAGTGAGTAAGGCAGGCGTTGCATAATCAACTAGGGAACGAACAGCGTGCATGTAAAACATTCTTAACACTTTGTGTCCCGCTCCTAGACGGGGCCCTATGATTGCTCTCATTATATTCAGTCGTGCTTTTGCCTTCTCCTTCAGATATTGAATTTGCTTGTTGAATGTCTTTTTAGAATCTATCCACACTCTGAGATATTGATATTGTGTAACCCACTGAAGGTTAATGTCTTGAATGTGTAGGAGCCTGTCTGGAGTGCTGCCACCTAGTCTCATTGCCTTAGACTTCTGTGCAGATATTTTTAGCCCTAAAATGCTGCATTCAGATGTTACTTTATCTAATGCACCTTGTGCTTTATTTAAAGTGAAGGACCTGTAATGACTAATATTATATCATCAGAACAGTAATTAACGTAGTGCAGGGGGCTGCAGGCATAATTAGCCAGTGACATTTATATATATGTTACTGAGCGTGTGACCTATGTAACCTGAGGTTACTTGGTGAGATTTTTAATAGTGTTGTGACGATTTAAGAATTTAGAGAGTTAATTAGGGGGTAATTAACTTAATAAGGGGTTGCACATTGCTTAATGTGGGAACTGTTGAGAGGGTAGCAGTATTGATTTAACGAGATACGTTTCAGGTGCAATTAATTGTCTGTGGGACAGCTAATTGCACACTCTAGCTAAATGTATAATTAGCATTTTCATCATGAATTCACATAGTGTGTGTGGAGGGACTTTCGGGAGAGTGACGGTACTTGTGTTAACGTAATTGCTCATGACTCATTACCTGTCTGTGGGATGGCTAATTAGTGGCTTGTGTTAATTAGGGTAGGTAATTAACATCACGGGGTTTGACTGACTGTTGTAGGGCGAAGTCATTTGGCTAGCATAATTTGTTGGATTAATTATAACTGTCTGTGGGACAGTTGATTAAGCACTTATGTTAATTAGTGGGTAATTAATACCTCTACCATGAATTCACAGTGTTTGATGAGACTTGCTTAGGCAGTGTAGAGAGGGATGTATTCATGTATAATTAATTATCAGTCCATGGGACAGTTAATTAATTGCACAATGTTAATTAGGGGCAATTAACACTCAAGTAAACTTGACAGACTGTGGAGAAGCTACCGAGAGGGTGGTAAGCTTGGTTAACGTAACTCGATTGGGATTAATTAACTGTTCGTTTGACAGTTATTAGTAATTACTCACTAAATGCTTGATGGGTCAAGTGTGATGTAATTAAGAACTAACGAGTTATTGTTTGGCAGTGTGACTTGTCTGTGGGAGACAAGTATTTGTGATTAATGTAGAGTACTTTGTACTTTGTGACTGTTGTTGACAGTCAGTTAACATAATTAATCATAAAATCAATTTGAGAAATTGATTAAGGTAATTTGCTTGATTATCGTCTCTGGAGACGAGAGTTAAAGTAACTAGGGGTTACTGGAGAAGTGTCTCATGTACCCACCTTGCCTAGTTTTGTTTACATTTGCAACTTAATTGAAGGGTACTGCAAAAAGTGTTAACATAATTGATAGGAGGAATGGAGACTTGTCTAATAATCTGCCTTGATGTTGGTTGCATAGTAACTGTATTGCAGGATTCTGCAGGGGTTTCTTTATTGCAATCTTGTGTCCTCAGTGAACACTCAGAATTGTTAAGTTAGTTCAATTATTGAGCCCAAAGCGACAACAGAATGGAGACTGTTGTTATTGATTGGCTGTTGAATAGCTGTCTTACAATGTGTCACTGGACGGACATTAACATAATGTAACGTAACACTAGCTGTTGTAGTAGTAATACAACAGTAGTATTACTACTGTTGTAGTAATCAACAAGAACTTAGTTCTTGTTGATTAATTGTGATTGCAATGTTGTGTCGTCTATGGGCACACCTGTGTTCAGGTTAGTTCAGCATTCAGCCTCGCGGCAATTGACAGGAGATGTTGCTATACGTGGTTGTGAGGATTCAAAGCCAGAGTCGCACGACCCGCCAGGTCACACCTCAGTCAAGAACTACTGGTGTGGATAGCCAGCACGGGGGTCTGGGACTCCCCCTTCCCCCTCCTATGGAGGGGAGAACTGTGCAGACAGCTGCACAGTGACAGTTGTGATGTCATGTTCGTTTGCTTGTTTTTTGTTTGGAGGAGTTCTGTCCAACAGTTTGGCTTTCAATAGCAATATTTTAACCAGATAGATTTTGTTTTGGGATGCCTACCTTTTTGGGTGCCTGACCCCGTCGATGGCAGACATAGAATGCTCCCAAGCACATGAGGGTCTCTATAGGCCATTGCTCCTCGTGCCTCTCTGTGGGGGCCAGGTTCTGGCTTGTGGTCCCCGGTAGGCCTAAGAACTCCATTCACTTTGATGCCAGGGTATAATACATTCATATCAGCCTGGATAGCTCCGGGAAGTCGAAGGGCCCCCTCCAGAATAACACAAAGTAGCTACCATGACTGCCAGAAAAATAACCAATTGGATAACAAGGCTGTTCCAAACAAGGAATACCCTACCAATGATGATACTTTTCAAGATACTAGTGATGTCTAGTGTGGAATATTGTTGCACACTAACAGCCCCATTCAAAGCTGGAGAAATTGCTAAGAGAGGGTGCAAGATACTTTACCACAAGAATCCACCCTATAAGTCATCTAAATTATTGGGACTGATTAAAAGTTCTAAATCTGTATTTTCTAAAGTGCAGACAAGACACAATAATCTGCACGTGGAAAATATTAGAGGGACTGGTACCAAATTGGAGAGTACATCACTTGAAACCAGTAGACATGGCAGGATGTGCAAAATAGCCCCATTGAAAAGCAGAGGTGCAATAGACATGCTGAGGAAGAACTATCAGTTTCAAGGGCCAAAGAATTTTTAACACACTCACTACACATAAGGGGCATAACTGGCCAGCTTCTCACAGTATTCAAGAGAGAAATCTTGAAACACCTCCAAAGAATATCTGATCAACCAGGCTGTGATTCATAAGTCAGGCTGAGAACAGCCGCATCCAACAGCCTGGTTGACCAGATGACCAACTGGGAGACCTGATCAGAAACCAATGTTGAATGTAATAAAATGCCCCTTTCTGGGTGAGCCCTGGTTACTCCTCAACTCTTTTTTCCCTCCTAACCAGGTATATGAATTTCGTGGTCCATCAGCTTTGGACTGAGATGCCACCATGAAACTGGGATGCCACAGGCTGGTGGATCTGTGCTCGAGGTAGTGTTTCCTACCCCAATTTCAAATGAATCTTATTCTGAGTAACACTTTTTTTTGGTGTCTGTTGGTTGTTTTGGCACTTTCCTTTCATGAACCATACAGTTGTCTGTATTGTCTCATCTACTTTCTGGTTACTTTCCTGATAAGGGTGAGTGTAACAATCCCTGCTCCCTGTGCATCTCTGAGGGAGCCAGTTCTGGCTCTAGTCTGCTGTAGACTAAGAGAATGTACATGATTATGTGGCTTAGTATAGGGAAGCTATTTTGGCAACAATTTCATTACACTCAGTGCCGTAATTTTGTGACAGAAATAGTAAAATAGTGGACTCTAGGAGGTCTCTGGAATGTAGCTAAATTTTGTCTACCAGTAATTACCTTAACTGGGATCTACATGAGTTTGCTTGAAGGTTATCAAGAGTGCCTCTGTCACCCAGATTGAGTGTTGACTGTACTCCCAATTAGATGGATCACAGGTGCAATACATATACATATGCTGAAACAACTTGTCTTCCTAATAGAGCGTTGTATTTTGACATATACTCTGCCTAAGGCCAAAAATTGTCATACTAGAAAATGGTAGCAGCTTGTGAAATGGACTTACTCTTCCATTTTCTGCTTTGAGAACCTTTTCTTAGGTTTCTTGATGTTGGGAAACCTTAAGTGGATGAGCTGGCTGAAATTCAATATTAAAACCTAATACTTTCTTTCCTATCCATGCACTAATCATTCAATCTATTAAATACTGTAGCCTCATTATTAAATAGTGCAGGTCTCCAGTTTGGCAGATACAATGCACCTGCATTTCTGCTAAAATTCCTAGAGAAACTAAAATTAACTGGAAGTACATTGATAAAAATTATAACTACCTGACAATTTCTTCGTCTCGTTTTGCCTGAGTCTCCTCCTCAAGCAATGTTTCCAGTTGACGTCTTAGAGTCTGAAGCTCCAGTACCCGCTTCTCTTCTGCTTGACGAGCTGCAGCTTCCTCCCTCGCAGTGGCCTCAGCTTCTGCTCGAGCCTTCAAAATATTTTCCAAATTACTAAACTATGTTTATCAAATAATTACATTGCTTGATTACTGTATCTGGATTAATTGGGTCTGAACGCTAGCTTAAGTTCAGCAAATTTGTTTAATTTCTTTCAACATTTTTACAAATTCAATTTTTTTAATTGTGAAAAATAAAACAAATTGATCAGCTGTTATTAATAATATTGATCTTGGCAGTAAAAATCAAGAAATACTTAATTAGCCTGGAAAACAGGTAATAGCTCAATAGGATGCCTTACCATCTTGAGTAAATGTAAATATTACTTATATTTAAATACTTTTTTCCTTCCCCTTATGTAAATATACACTAATACTGTTTTTATTTAAAATAACACTAAGTTTAGCATTAAAGCAAGCAGCAGCCACCAGCAGCCCCATCCTGCCAATAGTATTGTTAAATCTATAAGGCAATGTGATGGGATAATTCTCTCTCATCCCTGGACTCCCCAGACTTGCACACTACCACCTGAATTGTGACGTCAGTGTCTCAACTAGTAGTTCTACCAAGATATCATTATTATGTCTAGTTGCAGCTGTTTGCTGTTACCTCCATGCCATAGTGGTGCACTGGGGGAGGCTCTGTGGATCTGGTGTCCTTGGTTCCTTGTTCCTGAGTCTGTTCTCTTGTCTGCAGTGTCATCAAGCTTTGCCAGTCTGTGGTTAACGTTTGGGCTCATGGTGTTCATAGATTTGTGGCTCTGTCCGAGGTTTTTTAGAATTCATCTTATGCAAATATTCAGGATCGTGGGTTTTTCAGTCAAAAACAGCATGCTGACCACTTGTTACTTACTGAACATTATTTGTCTTTGCTGGCTTTATGTAGGTACAGGACAGTTAACTCTTTGCTAACTTCCCTATTTTCCTGGGAGTCACTTTCCACAGCTCTCCTCCAGCCCTGGTTAGTTGGTATTTTGTATTTTCTCCATAATGACTCACCACCAAGGAGACACCTTTAGGAACTCTCTCAGAACGTCTTCTATATTTTCTCCGTGATGACACAGCACCAAGGAGCCACCTTTAGAAACCCTCCCAAAAATCTAATGTTGAAAGTAATTAAATGTTTATTTCTGGTGTGCATGTTAACACAAAATATACAATTCAAGAACTACTAACATTTTTAAGTAATAAAACAAAATTTAAATCCAAAGTACACTGTTAACAATGGCAAGTATTATTTTCTTTATGGCATTCTTTATGGCGAGACTTCACACACTGTGAGTGTGTGGTGTGTGCTCGTGAGGGTCCCACTGCACTGTGCGAGATTATTCACCTCCATTATATCTTTGCGATGGAATACTGTCATCAATCTGCTGAGTGGGAAATTGTTCCTTGGTAGTGTATTGTCCTGTTTCCTGTTTGAATAAATATAATGCATGCACTCTGTTTGTTGAGTCCCGCCAATCCAAAAATATGGTACCGGCCTCACGTGGTTACTCGTGTGTTTGAAGTGTTTATAAATGCATATTGGTTTTACCTTCCTGTTTTAAAGTAACGTACCTATACTGTATATAGAAAGGGTTAGCAGCAGATCATGGTGGCAGCTGGAGATGCGCGCAGGTCTCTTTCCGACGTTCAAGATACCTTTGAGGGTTTTCCAAACCCACTGTTACATGGTACGCATTCTGATCACAACGCTCTCCCGGTCTTAAAGGTTGATTCTGAGGGGGGTTTTCCTAGACAGTTCACATCACAGTAAGGCGAACAGATTGGAGGCAAAACGCTGCCAGCATTCTTAGGTACCCTGCGATCGGCCCAGCCCTACATGGCTTCAGTAGCAACATCCTCCGCTCACTCGAGGTAGGACGAGTCTCCTGGTTCTCTTGCTGGATTTTCCCCTGTGCGTTTGTGCCGGCTTTGGATTTATTATGTGGTGGCCAGGTGTTCCAAGAAGTACTCTGTGTGCATGCATTTAGGGTTACCTTCCCTGGGTGCCCTGTAGGTACTGCCCCTGCGTGTTCATGGTTTTCTTTCCTGAGACGTTCGGGATTGCACTCCCGTTGTGGTTGGTGTCATTTGTCTTTAACATCGCCCTTGGGGTTCAGCGGTGGTCGTGGGGCTCTATGTCTGGCCCTCGGTAGGGTGTGTTGGTGGTGTTGGCTGGGGCGCACGGTGTTATGCATGGCTACCATAACTGCGCGGCTGTGTCTTTCTTTGGTTGTTTGTGGTGTATTTTCGAGGGTTTGAGGTTTTATTTTTATTTCCTGGAAAAGGTGTGCCTAGCTTCCGATTAGGTTAGCCAAGGTTGTGTTTGCCGCTCCTCCTTTGTCCCCCTCGAGGTTGCATACATGACTTATTTAGCTAGGTCCACATCAGTAGGTAATCCCAACTCCCAGATGTACTTTGCTTAGTAAGAGCAGAACAAACCAAGTAAAGGAAGCATTTTCTGAATTACCTACTCATTATAAAGACCAGATTGTACTTAAGATTACTACAGTTTTGTTAAGTTTAAGACACAGTTGCTACACAAGACAACACAAAGTTGTCAGTGGGACCTGACCTCAGATGATTGTAGCCCAGAGTGGTGTAGTGACAGGTTGTGTTACCTGGCACCACACTTTGTGGTGTAGTGACAGGTTGTGTTACCTGGCACCACACTTTGTGGTGTAGTGACAGGTTGTGTTACCTGGCACCACACTTTGTGGTGTAGTGACAGGTTGTGTTACCTGGCACCACACTTTGTGGTGTAGTGACAGGTTGTGTTACCTGGCACCACACTTTGTGGTGTAGTGACAGGTTGTGTTACCTGGCACCACACTTTGTGGTGTAGTGACAGGTTGTGTTACCTGGCACCACACTTTGTGGTGTAGTGACAGGTTGTGTTACCTGGCACCACACTTTGTGGTGTAGTGACAGGTTGTGTTACCTGGCACTTCACTTGCTTTAACAAATTAAATATATGTACAATGCAGCCATTATTTAGTGGTTGCAAAATAACAGATCTATATAATAGTAATTACAGTACAGTACAGTACTTCAATAATTTATTAGGTGAAGAATATCATGATGTGAATGTTACCAAGTCTATTTTAGTTCTATGACAAATGAAGATCAAAATATTAACAAACCAGTTTCTCAGCCATGAGCTCAGCTTGGGTGTTCTCAATGATGTCCGCTTGTGAGTCACGTCGAATACGCTCGGCAGTTTCTCGAGCCTCTTCTTCTGCATATTCGTTCTTTCTAATAGCTGACATTGTTGCTTGATATGGAAGACTTTGCTTGGAGTGATGTATAGCAGCATCTAGAGCTCGTAACCACTCGGCCTTACTCCTAGAGACATACAAGTGATCATAATAAACATATATATTGTACATCTAAATACTCATCATCTGTCATTAGGCAAAATGTGAGCACCATGTCATGTGGATTGAAACAATGTGTGGGCGCCACAATGTACATGTACGTGGAGGCAGAAAATCCTAACATGGTTGTGATGAGAATAATAGGTACACAGGAGGGAAAGTCCACTCCCTGAGGTACCACACATAAAGATAAAACAAGAGTAGGAGGAAAAATATTGTTAATAAAATAAGACTGGGCTGCATCCAGCAATAAGACATTAATAATAATAATTCATTGTGTTAGGGGACAGGCAGCCAATTTATACTGTACTACAATCAATTAACATGAGATGTTAAGAATGTGCAAGGTCCAATATATGCACATATTTTGTAATTATAACTGCAATTCCATTTTTGAATTGTCACAACATTTCATTTTGCATTATTTTAGTGGAGTCGAGTAAAGATTCATAAGTGTCAAGTGTATAACTTCATGACAATGATCTTGGTCACTTATGCATCACTCGGTACCCCTACTCAAATCTCTGAATATGTTAGACATTAAGTCACTGCACATTCTCTCATGTGTATTATACATATATAAAACGCTAAACTATAATGCCAATCCTGATCTCAAAAGCTTCATAGAAGGATGTAACAGAACCCATGAGCACCACACCAGAAATAAATAGTTTTGATATTCCTAGAGTACGACTTAATCAAACTAGAAATGCTCTACAAATCAAGGGGCCCAGAATGTGGAATGACCTTCCCAACCATGTTAAAGACTGTACCTCTCTCAACCAGTTTAAGTTAAAAACGAAGCTATACCTAATAAATTCCCTGTAACCTACCTTACCCTTCTATTGTCAACCAATGTCTGTTTTTTTTAAAGAGCGCTGTTTGTCGACAAAATTGTATTTGTGCTGCTTTTTCATCTATGTTTTCATTTCTTGTTTTCATTCTACTCATTATGCTCAATTAGTATTAAGCTTGTCATTTAAGTTTATCACGCCCGAAACGCTTTGCGTAATAGTGGCTTTAGGCATTGTATGTACTAGCTATTACCTATAAGTCAACCAATCTTTGTAAAAATTTATTGTATGTATGTACCTTACCTAAATAAACATTTTATTTTATTTTATTTTATTTTATTTATTTTATTTTATATTCAGGTGGGAGATGGAATGGATTATTTTCCATAATCAAAAACAGGAAGCTTGTTGAGCTTATCGAGGTCCCATCAGGTCAACTGCTGACCTCTACCAAGTTGCAACCCACAACAGTTATTTAACTGGGTGCATATTTTTTTGCAACCCGTTCTCGCAAATTCGTAAAGTCAATATTGACTTATTAACTACGTGCATAGGTGATATACTAAACATAATAGATACCCTTAAAAAGATTCATAGAAAACACCAACCTTACCTCACCTTGTTAGTATCTTAAGATAAGCATCTTATTGCTTCGTAATTACAATTATTACTTAACCTATACCTATTATAGGTTAGGTAATAATTGTAATTATGAAGCAATAAGATGCTTATCTTAACATACTAAGTAGGTTAGGTAAGGTCAGTGTTTTCTATGAATCTTTTTAAGGGTATCTATTATGTTAAGTATGTCACATATGCACATATTTAATAAGTCAATATTGACTTATTAAATTTGCGAGAACGGGTTGTTTTTTTGCTAGATGAATAGAGGCATCAGGTGAAAAGAAATATTACCCAAATACTCTCACTTGTGAGTAGAATTGAACCTGGGAACATTTTGGAAGTGCTTGACTGCACTTACTACTGCATTACACAACCAACAAAGGTTCTAGATGATAACTGCTATGATTACTTTCAAGACTATCACAAATAATAAATAACAAAGTACCTCATGTGGAATGATAAACTTCTTACCGTCTTGCAATGAAATATGTTGAAATTATATTGTTTATCTCCATTAAGCACCAGAACGTCACTGACTGCAAATGACTTCTTTACATAAAGAAATGGCATGCAAGTAGAGTATTGAAAGCTTAAAATGGAAAAAATTACTATGTACATCATGCACTTATAGATCTGAAACATTATCAATATTGAAGATATAATGACAGAAGAATCTATGAAATATTTTACCTGTGATCAGTAGCAGCAAGTTCAACAAGTTTGTTGCTTTCTAAACAGAGTGTAAACCTACACGGCCTGGCACCAGGTTCATCAGGAATGTTGTGCACTGTGGCTGATGGAGTGAGACATATGTGGGTTCGGCCCACAGCCTTAGCCAGTGCTTCTGATTGTGCTTTAACCATGTGATTAGAGACAATTAGTGCCCAAGGTCGTAATTCAATTTCTCGTTTTACCCATATTGGTGCCCACCACGCTCGCTGGTATATCTTTCCCTGTATGAATCCAAAACATAGTATTTTAGATATTTATTTTAATATACAGTACTAACAGAAAATTATATAAACAAAATCAGATATTCCAACAGAACTTTTACGTACATTATTTTCAATGATCTCTTCAAAAACAACAGAACATACTTGTTTTAGAATTTGCTCCACAAACTTCTTATAAACTTCTTCAACTGCCCTTTCTAGAGCAGCAGATTCAGTATCTTGTGCATAACGACCCTCTAGGAAAGCAAGAAAAACAGGAAATGTGAAGTACAATATTGATGTTGCTAGTTGGGTAAAGTCACGAGCATCCCATTCCCGTCCTAGGCTTGTGATCAGATGCCTCGTCACCTCCCTCACTTCTACAATATTTAGCGTCACCTGGAAAGCAGGATCACATAATCAGCTCATAGTAATTATTGTGCTACATAATGATGGAGGAGGAGTGGACCCTCGTCATAATGAAGCTCATTCAAATGAACGTCTGCAAAATTCTCACATTCTGGCAGAGGAAAAATGCACTATAATGTAACAGTGCATCTGGTATTGTGTGCTCAAGCTCCAGCCATACCTAGGCATTACTATGGAAAACCTAACCCCATCCAATTGTTAATAAATTCATAAAAATTTAAATAGTCCAAAAATCAAACTGATCAATTACTATGCAAGTAGTACTGTATTATCAAATAATAACTTGATAAATATACTGTATACAGAACTGTCAAAATAAAGCATACAATACAAATACCAGTTTATGAACAGGTTCATAAACTGGGCACTAGTGTATCATACTCCCTTTTTCTACATATACAAGGAATGGGTTTATTAGAGCCTATAAGGTTTTATTGCTAAATATAGTATTTTCGAAACTTCAGTACTGCAAGAGTTCCCCTCAGTGGTTCCCCAAGCTACTTACTGGAATTGTCCAAACTTTAGGGGCCAGATAAGGCTATAAGGAATCACAAGCATCTTCGGGACACCAGGACCAGAATCTGACACTCTCCGTAGAGGCACCAGGGAGTCTGGGGATACAAGATCACCACAGTATCAAAGGGAAAATCACCTGAAATCACTTTGGTAGATCACACCAAAACAAGCAATTGCTTGGGCAGTATTTCCAGCCCTGATTCAAACTATGCACACATTTTTTTTGTCAAGGTCTAACAGCTAGTTAGCATCATTCTCTTGCCACCAGACAGCAGCTTCGGTGACTCGACGGTCCATGCCAGCCATCCCAGTTATATACACATTTAGTATTGTCCCATCTGGTCCCACACTGCTCTTTGGACTTTGTTCAGTGTATAGGCCTGTGCTTGTGTTCGTTTCCTTAGTGCTTCCCATACTGTATAGGTGTTATCATGCAACCTGTTGCATGTACCATAATCACTTGTTTCACCCAGCTGCCTGTGGCTAGAGTTTCCTTCCAAGCCACTGGTAATGCCCCTACCCTCAGTCAGGGTTCTTTTCACTGAGAAGATTTGGGAGTCCGAGGCCCTGGGGTCTCCTCTAAAGGTGCCTCGCCTCGGGTGGTGCATCTGTGTCTGCACCTCTATGGACTCCAGTGGTTGGGGTTTGCTGTAATTAACTTTTCAGGGATGCACTGTGTCGAGGCATTTTTAGATTATATTTTCTGATGTCAACTTCTGCCTCCTCTTGATGCATTTTTCATTCATCAGGGGTTGGTGTGATCTTCACAACATATTACCCAGCACCTGGTCTTCTAGCTGAGCTCTACCCGAGTTGGTGCCGTTAAATAAGTAATTATCAAAAGAAGGCACCAAACCGGGAAGGTTATGTAGCACCATCAAATGTGCAGGATAATCAGAGGGCGCTAAATATCACCAAGGATGCCAATATGAGAACAGAAACGCATAAGGCAAACGATATCAAAAGCATCCGATTCACCAAGAATTCTATCGAGGGACAAGCGACCGCAAGGGACGGTCATAAAGCAAGACACACGCTCGTCCTGGAAGTCAGAACATTCAACAAGAATATGCAAGACCGTAAGAGGGACAAGGCAATTTGAACAAGAAAGAGCAGGGCAGCGCTCCATTAAGTGACCATGAGTTAAGCACATATGGCCAATACACAACCTCGCCAGAGCCGTTTTCCACTGCCGGTTACTGTGGTAGGAGGAAGGCCATGAGGACACACTACTCTTAAGAGAACACAGTTTGTTACCAGTAAAAGAAGACCAGCAATCCTGCCAACGGGTAAGGATGGAGGGATGAATAACTGGGTAAAAGTCAGAATAAGGAATACCTTTACAGATGGGACAAGAGCGGACAGTTCCCAAGAGTGTGCAGCATTTGCACGCTCATTTAAAGAGTCACCAATATGGCTGGGAAACCAGCTAAACTCAACCGACTTAAATTTACTGGAAATAAGAAACAGCCAACGCTGAATCTCGACAACCACTGGATGGATCGGATTAAAGGACCCGAGAGTCATGAGGGCACTACGAGAATCAACGACAACCACAAAGGAAGATTAACAACGAGAAAGCAGGAGACAAAGGGCAGAGAGAATAGCATAGAGTTTAGCTGTGAAGCTGCTAGTCTCCGAAGGTAGGCGGCACATATAAGTGCGGTCAGGAAAAACAAGAGTAGCCTACACCGTCCGCAGACTTAGACCCATCGGTGAAGATGGAAACGGAGCGGGAGTGCGAAGAAAAGTGCTCAAGGAAAAGGTGTTTCAGAACTGTAGGAGGGGTAAAAGTTTTAGTGATGATGGTCAAGGACGTACAAAACTTCGGAAGGGGGACTCTCCACGGGGGAAAGGAAGGAAAAATACAAGGAGAAACATTAGAAATATGAACTGAAAGAGGATCTTGTAAGCGAGACAAACGGACAGAAAGAGGAAGGTGGTGAAGAGGAACAGGAACCCCAGGACAGGGGTAAAAGTTAAAGCACGAAAGAGGCGAGCGGAAAGATGTTGCAAGGACCATGCAAGATAGGGAAGACAGTAGCAATCCCGGCAGTCCTGGAGAGATAGGAAGCCAGTGTCAACATACAAAAAGAGGGTGGGAGTCAAACGAAAGGCACCAGAGCTGAGGCGTCACCCAGTATGATGCAAAGCATCAAGATGGCGAAGAGCTGAAGAAGAAGCAGATGAGTAAGCAGGGCAACCATAATCGAGTTTAGACAAGACGAGAGAGGAATGTAAAGCGATGAGAGTGCGCCTATCCACTCTCCAAGAAGTATGGGACAAAACCTTAAGGAGGGTAAGGGCCCTAGAGCATTCAACTCGGAGGTAAGAGGTATGGGGTGACCAAGACAAACGAATGTCAAAGATTAACCCCAAAAGCTTAGTGGAATCCCTGTACACAAGGAGATGGCCATAAAGCGACAAAGAGGGACGAAGAACGACATGCTTCCGAGTAAAAGTCATAGCACAAGTCTTAGATGGAGAGAACCTGAAGCCATGATCGGTGGTCCAAGACGACACAGCATCAATCGCAAGTTGAAGCCGCCATTGTAGGAGAGGCGAATCATCACCTCGACAGCAAAGGGTAAGATCATCGACATAGAGAGCGGAGAAGACGCCAGAATGAAGAGAGGAAAGAAGACCATTGAGGGCAACCAGAAAAATGAGTATTGCTCAGAACACTACCTTGGGGCACACCTTCGTATTCCTGAAAAGAGGCAGAGAGAGTGGCACCAAGCCTAACCCGAAAGGAACGACGAGAGAAGAAGCCCTGGAGAAAGAGAGGGAGACGTCTACAAAGCCCAAAAGAATGAAGTTGGGAACGAATATGATATTGCCAGGTGGTGTCGTAAGCCTTTTCCAGGTTAAAAAGGACGGCAAGAACGAAGGTCTTTGCAGCAAAAGCAGTACAAACATAGACCTCCAAGTTCACCAGGACATCAGTTGTGCTGTGGCACTTGCGAAAACCAAATTGAGAAGGGGAAAGGTGGTGATAGTGTTTCAAGAACCACATCAAACAAACGTTAACCATACGCTCAAAGAGTTTACAGACAACTTGTGAGGGCAATAGGGCGGAAGTCCTTAGGGGATGACATGACCCAAGAGACCCTGGTTTTCCGAACAGGGAGGACAATGTCATTGACCCAGTCCTCAGAAACTGATGACTCCCATACCCGAATTATACAGACTCGGTAAATACTAAGACATGCACGGAGGGAGATGGAGAAGCAACTCATAATGAATCCCATCGGAGCCCGCTGCCGTAGAACTGCAGAGGGCCAGAGCAGACTGAAGCTCAGAGAGAGAAGGGATCGTTATAGGGAAGTCTAAGATGGGTGGAGAAATCCAAAGGACGGGATTCAAGAAGAGGTTTATGAGGAAGGAAAGATTGAGGAAGATGAGAACCAGAGCTAACAGAAGAAAAGTGGGAACCCAGTTCAGTAGCGACCTGCAACGGGTCCGCCACAAGAGTACCATGTAGGCGAAGGACCAGCGAAACATCGGGAACGAACTTACCCGCTATCTTTTGGATACGCTTCCAGATCTGCGGCAGAGGAGTTTCATACATAATGGGGGAGACATAAGACATCCAACATTCACGTTTAACCATATGGATGGTTCTATGGGCCACCGCACTCGCCTTCTGAAACAACAGAAAAGACTCAGCCGTCTGCCGGCGGCGGTGTCTCTTCCAGGCTGCACGCTTACAGCGGACAGCCTGAGCACAGTCCACATTCCACCAGGGAACACACTTTCGCATCCTCCGAGAGGAAGAGTGAGGAATAGAGCGGAGGGCAGCGTAGAAGACGATGTCATGAAAAAGGAGGAGTGCGCGAGGGAGAGGCAGAATGGAGAGGTCGGAGAGAGTAGCATGGAGGATAAATAGGTTCCAGTCTGCCTTAGCAAACCGCCACCTAGGAAAGGAGAGGGGAGGGGAGGGTGAAAAGAAAAAAAGGTAACAAAGATAGGGAAAGGGTCACTGCCATGGAGGTCAAGAACCCTCCATGAGAAATCCAAGTAAAGAGATGACAAGCAGAGAGAAAGATCAAGATAGGAAAGGGTGCGAGTCCGTGAGTCCAAATGAGTGGGCTCACCAGAATTTAGAAGAGACAGGGAAGAAGAGAGGATGAACAGTTCAAGAAGGCGACCCCGGGTGTTTGTCAGAACAATAATCTCAATATCTCTGTAATCAACTTGAACGTTAGATCCCTAGGTAAACACTTCGATGATGTTAGTGCCTTGATTGAAACTATTGACAACAAATTCTCTTTTATTATACTTACTGAAACGTGGTTGAAAGAGGATAATACTCAACTCTTTAACATGCCTAACTACTCGGCAATTCACAACTGTCGTCAAATGCAGAGAGGTGGTGGTACTGCTCTTTACTACCACCAAGAACTAACATGCTTAAAAATAATTAGAACTAGAGACTGCTGTGGGGAGTATAT